ATTCATTGGCTTTTTTTCCCACGGGGAAGAATATTTAGAAATGTCCTCACAGGTAAGAGTATGACATGAATGAGGATGATCATTTTTTCAATGCATCCCCCTGAGGTCGACCCTGGGATATCTTGTTCACATTCCGCGTCGGTAGGAAGCGGCTAGTATGTTTTAGTCCTTATTTAGTTCAGGGATGACATGTTAGAAAATCGTGCATAAGTGAGTGAATTGAAGATAAAACCAACGTACAGTTGCGGAATAGCGCAGATGGCCGGACATTGTATGTATATTTCATGTTTTTTCCCTAAACTATATCTTTCTGTATTCAAGAGTATATATGTTTCGATATCTTACTGTGGGTAATATGTATCTACACAGCAGCAGGAACGACTTGTGTTTCCTTTATTGTTGTAGACAAGCTTATATCTAACATTTGGCGGGTTTTGTTTTATTCATTTTCTAATTTTTTACATGACATGACACAACACATATGGTACATGATTGGCAAAAGCACCTAAAATTTAAGAGTTGCTGATTTCTTTTTGAAATTCACTATGAATATACAGAGACAAAAAAGAATACACACACACATACGCCAACAGATACACACACACACAAATTAGTATATAAATAAATGATTAATAAATAAATGGTATTCGTGACATTAGGTATACAGACAAAAATCAAATGCATACAAAAGACAAAGCAAGGACAGGGGAAACCTAGGTCAGAAAGATGTTAAATTTAGTATCTTTTTTTTTTTTTAATGTATTTGTGTGTTAATCTGTATTTAATTTTTAATATTACTTTTAGATATTATAACTTTTTGAGCTTTTAATTAGAATTTGATATGCTTTTTTAGACCATTCAGATTGAGTTCTATTTCTAGGCATTTTGATTTATATATGTATTTTTTTATCGTGAGTAATATCAATTTATCCAAGTTGAACTTTGCATATTTATCAATTTGCTTGCCAAAGATAAATTCTTATTTATTAAATCGAAGACCAAGAGTTTTAGCAATAATAGTTATTCTTATATTTTCTATCAAATTAGATACCTTTTCACAATCCCATAATATATGTAATATTGTTTATGGATGAGTTTTTTAAAAAGTGCACATATTATTATCTAATTTACCAATTTGAGATAAAAAAAAATTGTGGTTAGAATTCTATGATTTATTCTGAATTGTAACCATTGTAGTTTGAAACTGGTTCAGGTATTGAAAGGCAATTTGTATATATTTTTCCATGTATCTTCATCAATATTGAAATTTTGATTCCATTTATTTTGGGCTTTTCCTTTTACAATCGAAGCGGCCTATTCGGTGCGCGATGTCAATATAATTGTTTTGGATATTCATCTGTAGTTTTTATACTTTTTCACACGTATTTTCCATTTTTTCGTCCCTATCATCCTCCAGTCCGAATACACGTACGCTGGGTTTTCTGGTGTACTGTTCCAGCTCGTTCACTCCGTACTCGGCATTCTCCGCAGCGTAGCCGACTTCAGCTATAGATACCTCCATTTGGTTGATCTTCTTTTCTTGCGAGACTACTTTCCTTTTCAGATCATCGTTGGTGGTCTCCAAATCAAAACCTCTACTCTCCAGAATGTCAACTTTCTCATTGAGTTTACTCACTATTTACAAAGTAGCGTTATCTAGATGCAACTTCGTAGCCATTTTGCTAAACTTCTCGTTTAAACTTTCAACGGTCACCATCTCAGATAGCTTCTGATCAACACAACAAACTTTAGATTCGAGACTGGCTATTGCTTTTATTATTTCTTCACCAAATTTCTTTAGTTGTATATTGTCCATTTTGAATGCTGTGAGAGTAAAGTGACTTGTACTTTCCTACCACTTTTCGTAGGGGCATCAATGTCTTGGAAACTAATATCCGAACTTGACGTAGATATGTTTTTTGTCTTTAATCGGCCATGTTGAGATCGTAATGTAACGCTGTATTGTATCACTCAAAAGTTCAGGTGTTTATACAGGTGAGCGATCCCAGTACGTATACATGCAGGTTATACATAGGCACAGTGAGTACTGTTCCGTTACGGAAAGTAATGTCACAAAAAAGTCTATTTTACTCACATACAGGTGGGTCTCGGTTACTCACATACAGGTGGGTCTCGGTTACTCACATACAGGTGGGTCTCGGTTACTCACATACAGGTGGGTCTCGGTTACTCACATACAGGTGGGTCTCGGTTACTCACATACAGGTGGGTCTCGGTTACTCACATACAGGTGGGTCTCGGTTACTCACATACAGGTGGGTCTCGGTTACTCACATACAGGTGGGTCTCGGTTACTCACATACAGGTGGGTCTCGGTTACTCACATACAGGTGGGTCTCGGTTCCTTGTTTCTTTACATATGGATCCACATCACTATGTTGATGAAGTGTGACAATTCTGTAGTTCAAAATTCCACACGAATATTAAGAAAATGGAACATATTTGACGAGCGATACAGACTACGTCCACCTCTCCGACTGACCACGTGACCTAAAGACAAGCTTATTTATAATATTCTTATTCGACTCCTCTTGTGGATGATTTAGTCCCCAAGGTTTGCCATAACCATACCGTATGGTGTTTAACGTCCCCTTCTGATAAAAAGTAGTTTGGATCAATTTTGATGTCCAACGTTTCGGCCCCTAGCATCACCGACAAGTCCTAGAAGGACGAAACTATTGTAGGATGCATTGCAATTCATTTTTGACATATTGTATCTGTTACCAATTTTAAAGACGCAATTATCTGTGTGGTTTCCGTTCTGTTCATCCTAATACATGGTACTGTAGAACTGGGAAGGAAACAGTGTAGTTAAAATAAGCTTTTAAATTACGCCCGAAAATCAGGATGATGTTGACCAGACTTGTTGTTATTGTCGAACATCCACTATATTTTTTTGTTTGACAGACATTTAACATAACTCACAGGAACTGTAAAACAAATTGTATGTATATAACAAATATACCACAAATAAGGACAAAATTCATAACGTCATGCAATCCCAGTTGGGTCATACAATGGTTGGCATAATACTTGAAAAGTAATATATGTTTTCCCCCTCTGATGATATAACAAAAGAGATATTTATCAGCATTACAATGGAATAGTTTTGTTTTCTGCGACATTGTAAATGAACATGATGACTTAAAATAAACATGTCAGAAAACCAGAAAATACGACGTATGTCGACGATAATCATAGGCAGGATTAAATGTTGATTTCTGATCCTTGTAATATGATATTATAAAGTGTTATATGTCAATAATTTAATCTTACTTGTAACAAGCATTTTCATTGGCTTAAGAATTAATGTAATCAGCCCATAACGAAACAAAAATTACGTTTATAACGTCGCTTTTGATTGGCTGATACAGAAGCGTAATGATTTCTGGGGAAAAAAGAGTCCATCAATAAAAGTGGATTTCCACAGGGATTGTGTATAGTAGATTAAATTATAAGGATTGACTTGAACATATCTTTATATTATGGAGCTATAACACCAAAAAAACGGAATGTACTCTCATCCTATTTCCATTCTTACTCAAGTTGGACTCAATGCAACTACCAATATAAAACCTGTTTCATTTGCCGATGAATTTGACCAGATCAACATTGCCTGTGCGTATGATTTTGCGAAGGGAGATAACTATTGACATGTTTAAACAAAGAAGATACCACTTGAGATTTTACATTTTTATTGAAGCTACACAAGAAATTGCTCAAACAACCAAAAACGATCAATCAGCAAAATGTTATCAGCTCTCGGTTGCTAGCGGTAGTGACAAGTCATGTGCTGCCCTAGAAATTCTCCCTCCAGCTACCAATTCTGCCTTTGGCGTCAGTATCAACCCCGGTAGTAAGGTACAAGTCGGAAACAACGTAGATCCATTTGGTCCCGTCTTTTATGAAATGAAGTCGAACAGCTAAATGCCCTATCAAATTGTTTCGTTCTTTCAAGCCACGTCTGGTTTCCTGTCTAATTTATCATTCAATTATGGCAGCTTCACATTCCAGAAGATGTAGAACCTCGAAATTTAGCGGCTCTCCACTTCGAGGTAGTAAAAAAAGATGGCCGCCGTAGACTCGCAGCTGAGCCTGCTCACGGCGTCTAGACATAATCTTCCGCGATGACGCGTCAGAAAATTTAATATCTTATTGGTTAATCAACAAAAATTAAATATGACACTTAAAATATGGTGTTGTGTTTAGTTTCTACATAATTTGGCTGTATTGAACTATCAACTTACCCAATCATGTTGTATGATGGTCTTTCTATGACGGACTATTTTTTTTACATTGCGTCAATACCTAGTCTTGCATAGGTTCCAGAACCTGGGGCAAACCATCAGAATTCGACTTCACAAGTTCTAATTATTGAAAAACGCGCGCTGATTGAAATATAAGGTTTGAATCTTGCTCTGGTCGATTCCATGGGGTGATGAATTGAGTTGGTCTTGAAACAAATTTAATGAACTGTGAAATAGAGCACACTCCGTTTTTTGGTGTTATATCTCCATAACATGAAAAATATATTCAAGTTAATCCTTAATTGTAGTGCAGTATGGTCTTTTTAAAAGCAATATATTTGTTACAATCTGCACATCAACCGGAAGAAATATGGTGTACCAATTCGGGTTCTAATCATGGCTTAAAAACGGATGAAATCTCACTCCGAGTTAAGCGTTCTATTTCAAAAACAAATAACTTAGAATCAAACCCTTTGCTGACAATGAACCACCCAGGGTATGGGTAGTTTTTGTCGAGAATCAAGAAAGATTCCAGTTAACGAATCTGTATTTCTAAATATTACTGAAAAAACCGTCAACTCTGAACTTATTATGGTACCATGACCATGGAACATTTACAGATAGAACTTTACATTACATCAACTTAATGTGCAAACTTCCCATGTTTCGTAAGCGAAGGATAAGTGATCATTTAAAGCGTGTTTAATGATATATAGCTAAGGAGTTACAAACCTAGAGGTGTATTCGCCGTTCTCAGACCGTTCTCAGACGATCCAAAACTGTCCCGTGGTTGGAAGTGGACGATGCTATTAGAGCCCAAGGCTTAATCGTTTTCAGTGGTACAGGTTCCTTTACATCGTAGTTACGTTTCACATATGTGTACTTATAAATATATGTAGACAACCTAGATTTGCAGCAGGTGAGGGTTTCAGTTCATCGCATAACAGTTGGCATTCACGTCTTTATTTCAGCGAGTGTTGGTACATTTACGGAATACAAGCTGTTATTGCCAAAGAAACAATATGCATGATTTAATACTGACGGTGTGCAGCCCACTCGGCCAGAGGGTAACGCACTAACTGTTCTACGTTACTGCATTCTTCTAATTTCACTTACATAGTACAGTTTCCCTACTGGCAGGTATTGTAGAGTTCAATGTCCATAGCATGTCGTTTATTTAACGTCATTGGCTATACTTATTTGGTTTAAATCCTTTAGTTAGGAAATTATACACCAATTCCTTGTGAGCAGGATCCAGACCTAAAACACGTTTCTTTAATCCAGGAGTGGTTACTACCTTGTTTTGAAAACAATAAACAAATCAGTAAATGAAAAAATGTTGATACAAAGCTAGCCAAAGGCCATTTAACACACAGATGTCAATCTTCCAGGTGTCGCCAGCACTGCTCTACAGGCAATACCAGTAAGTCTCACAAACCGGGGATTCCACAAGGCCACCTCTTGTTTCCAATTTGATTTATATTCTATCCAACACAACATAATATTCTCATGTAGACAGCTCGTCGAGTCTTAACATTTGACACACGTCTTTTCACCTCTCATACCATGCGTGACGTATGAATTTAAAAAGTGAAATCGTCCCGCTTCGTTAAGTTTTATTTTCAGTCTCTGTATATCTGTTGCTTCCTGTTTATCATCCAGTTTCGTGTCAACGGGACTCTGATCAGTTTCAGTCGTCTGCTGAAAGTGGTCGTTTGCTCTTGTTGTCTCTAGCTCTATCTATGTGTGCCCGTCGTATCAAATGTTTTAAACTTTCTGAGCGACTTTTAATCTTGAAACAATTATCATACATCTGACAGGAACGCATTGTCAGCCATTCAAATGTGGATGTGTGATGGCGAAAACATGAATACACACTAACCAAGTACGAATCCAATCGGGGTTTGATTTCATCAGGATGAAATTATCTTCAAACTTCATAAATTGTTTTGTGTTATGTAGGAAAAGAAGGCTATATAAATCCCTTTAGTTTATTTCTATACCAAGCTAACAAAACAGGACGTTTGATTTTTGTATAAATACGGGTATTTATGATTCTAGACAAGATACTGTTTACGACAACCTGTATCTGGTGATGCTCCCTAATATATAATTTTAAATCAATTGAACCCGTGGCTTCGTAAATCACAGAAGAGGCCGTAGAAGGGGTTGAAAGCCTGTGACATATTAAAATAAATTAATACAAATCCATGTTTTGTTAGATTCTCCCTTTGTGAACCCTCACGGTTTGTCAATGTAATCCACAACAATCTATGACGCCGCCATCCCTACTACGGGACATGCAATGATGGGCGTAATGTGTTGATACGGGGAGGTAGTCATGTGTGACGACGAATATATCATTATAATACACCTAAATATAGAATCTCTCATAGGAGGTTTCTACATTACACTTCTATATGAAAAGTTTTGCCATGCTGGTGAAGTCACTTTGAAATAAACATCAAGATATCAAATTACCTAATCTAGACACGAATACATTTCTATCATTATGCACGATTTTCACTTTTTTATTTTGTGTTTAAAATAGCTTACCTTCATGTTTAGTTTTCGCCTCAGGTACAAGACCTTCTTGATTCTATGTCATATTATTTTTGCCTTTCTCTTTCAAGAGATACTCCGGGTGTTTTTGAGTCTTGAATCTGAGTTTTTCCCTACAATTATTATACTTTTCCTACCCATCCTGGTGTTCGTTAACCATGTAATTAAATTGAAGGTTTCATTGTGTTTTCATTAAACCATTTAGTTTTCGTATATTTCACTTGTACCATTTATTTCTCTATTTATTTTCAATAAAAATCCTAAATATTTTCTATCAATCCTCATGAACTTGAACGAACAATGCGAGTTTTCAGAAATGTGTTCCATTGAAGGAGATATCTATAAATTCCTTAAAAAAGGACACAAATTAAGATTATGTAATAAGATAATTTTCGACTAGACAACAAAATGTTTATGAGTTTTAGTAAACTTTTTAAGATCGACTTAAAAATAAGGTTATGTTACACGTTATTACACGTAAATTAATAAGTAAGTCAAGCACGTTTACTCCAGCATTAAAACTACTGTTACTAACCACTGCTTTGTCCAACTTGTGGTTCAAGCCACGATTTAAATGACATTGATTAAAAGCAGCAGCAATGTCACTTATAAAAGAACGTACTGAACCTATACCACAACTGTATCCAAATTACGTTATGATAAAACCAGTGTGGCAGAGGTCTTTAAACCAACTTCATGTTTCCAGATATTTTGATTTCTTCAATAACCCCAAATGACAAATATCAAATGCTTTAGAAATGCAACAAAATACTCAACAAGTACATGTTTATTTTCATCAGATGCTAAATAAATATTTCTATGAGCTGAAAGATATCAAAATGAAACGAGTCAACAAACGGGCAGACTGGAGCACTAAGAAAAGAGAATTACTCATGTAACTATAAACATGTTAAAACAGAATGCCGATCATCCTATCAAGATTTTTGAACTTTTAACCACTCTCATATTTGTTTTATTGTTTTTAAACTTGTATTCCATCCATTATCTTATACTATCAGAATATTCATTTTGTTGAAGGATTTCGTTAATATGACTTTAATCTGAATTATATATGGTCATACCATACCATAGTGAAGTCGGTGTGTTAAAACCTTTCAGCAAATTTATGTGCATTTTACCATAGCTTGATGCATATTTGTATAGCTTGTGTTTTCTCTGTTTAAATATTTTGGCCGCGAGCCTACCTATGATAATCTGTTCGCCTTGTTACAACGATTGCATCAATCATTTACCATGGACATTCCTTATGCATTTTTCTTGTTGGGAATCGCTTAAAAACACTAAATCAAGCTACTACGGTTCTTGTTTTAATACGGCGACGACTCCGCCTGGTTCCGTTCTATACAAAATTCAAAAATAGTCATGTCCTTGTAACTCACTAGGCCCTTTCCCATGAAATATTTTTTCATGTAACCGTTTGTGCAGATAAACACTATTGTAAAATTCTAATGCTTTTTCAACAAAAGTCATATTCTTTACAATATTTTCCAAGTCCTTCTTATTATTGTAGATCAAATATCTTTCTTTGGCAGAGGAACATTATTATCCCTTTTCTCTGTTTGAATTTTCTACTATAACTTGTATTATTCTGTTTGTACATGTATATCTGTACATATATCCCGTCCAGTCGCCAATCCTGTGTGAACTCTTTATTCCCTACAAATGACTTGGTTATGATTTTGGATATTATTTTGTAGCCAGTATTCAGGAGGGTAATGTACTTACATATTAATTTGTAACCAGTGTCAAGGAGGGTAATGTACCTACATATTATTTTGTTTACCAGTGTCAAGGAGGGTAATGTACCTACATATTAATTTGTAACCAGTGTCAAGGAGGGGAATGTACCTACATATTAATTGGTTACCAGTGTCAAGAAGGGTAATGTACCTACATATTACTTTGTTTACCAGTGTCAAGGAGGATAATGTACCTACATATTAATTGGTTACCAGTGTCAAGAAGGGTAATGTACCTACATATTATTTTGTTTACCAGTGTAAAGGAGGGTAATGTACCTACAGATTAATTTGTAACAAGTGTCAAGGAGTGTAATGTACCTACATATTAATGTGTAACCAGTGTCAAGGAGGGCAATGTAACTACATATTAATTGGTCACCAGTGTCAAGGAGGGTAATGTACCTACATATTAATTTGTAACTAGTGTCAAGGAGGGTAATGTAACTACATATTAATTGGTAACCAGTGTCAAGGAGGGTAATGTACCTACATATTAATTGGTAACCAGTGTCAAGGAGGGTTATACATGTAAATCTCCAGATTCCCACATCGTCGCTCGCTCTCTGCAGCGCTGTAGAGATGTGATTTTATTCCGAAGATTTATCTTTGTGATTTTTTCTAGTAATACTTTTTTCATAACTTCCCGATTTAACCTGAAACAGTTGCACACAATCAGTCTATTTTTTGAGATCTGTTGATAACATCTGCAAAATCGGCCGTCTCATGAAAATTTATCCGTTTCTTTCTAAAGTCTTTTTTTATTTTTTATTTTTTTACGGCTGCTTGATCAAATTGTTCATATTTGAAAAATTTGTCAGAATGTCTTGTAAAATTAAGTGTATGTCTTTATTTTCTTCTCTACCCTATCGAAAAAGTCACACATTTTTGACACTTTTCTGATTGACACACACGTCAAACATAAACTGACATTGCTCTAGTTTACATTAATTATCTGATACGTTGACAATATGGCGGGGCGAACTGGATTATGGGATGACTGACTTCGAAGTCCATAGTGCTGATTTTGCCATGAATGGCGAGGTAAACTTTTCACTGTCGTGTCGCGTCGCAAGTCGGTCAAACCAGAAACGTATTATCAAACCAACATTGTCATTGTGGATTTGAAACTTTTAATTAGTATTTGGATATCATTTTCATTTGTCAATATCGATGTATAATTAAATTCAAAAAATCTTCGGATATTAGAAAAATAACAGAGCTTCCAAAATAATCGTAAAATTTCTTTGGACTTCTTCGGTTTTCTTCGGAGATTCACTTTTTGTGTTGCTGTTGAAGAGAGCTGACATCGACCACAGGGGCTTGTATAGACTTGTATGATAAAATTAGCTTGAAATACCTATACATATAGACTTTATATATAGGTATTTTCAATTTATTTTCCATATATAAGTTTATACAAGCCCCTGTGCATCGACTATCAACTGCTCGCATTTTACGCTTAAGAAAGGATCTTTTCAGACCGTAAGTAAGCACAACCATATGTGATGTATGTAATTGAATACTGTGAGATACATTTTTCAATAGCAAATCTTTTTCAAAACGATGGAGAAGTGAGGATTTAGACGTTTCACGAGCACTATGCACGCATGGCCACCATGACACTATTTACATTGATCACACAGAAAATAATTCCTTATATAGAATTTTGAGTCAGCAGGTATTTATTTCAATGTGTTGAAATTCAGTAATTGGCACGTCGGCTATGCATGCCGACGTAACAGTCGCCATGACACTTTTCGAAGAATAAACAAACCATTCTGTTTATTTGCACTTAGTTCTTCATGAAATAACATATTGAAAAGAAATCAATAGTTCATTACAGCTGATATAGAACACTTAAAACAACAACATGGATAGTATTTTATGCACCCTTTAAAGTGTACCCGGAATGATTTGCAATATGAAGTTTGAAAATACACCACGTCATAAAACAGAAACATAGCGATTTTCGTATCAGAGAAAATACGATATTTCTTGAAATCTCACCTGTGGCCCCACAGCGATGACCCCGTTTCGGTGTCCCAGACCTGTGACGTCACAAGTTCAACGCGGGTAGCTCAACCCTTTTAAATTTTACCAAAGAAGAGCGACATGTACCGTGATATATGCGGTCTGTCATGTGATTAACAAAGTTTTCATCTTCTTTTTATTGTGATAACACACCCATAGACATTTATTTTAACGCTGAGGTGTTGTGGAAGGAGCTCGTATCGAGGGGGAATAAAACACGTGTTGTGTATGGATGTCGGAACACGCATGCAAATAGTGTCTTATTTCCACGCAATTCCCTTGAACTTGTCAGTGTTTAGAAACAATGCGTACAGTTTGTAGAAAGTGGGAAAGATATACGAAATGTTCCT